TTAGAATCATAAATAACATTATTTCTTTATTTATCGGAATAGCTTCGTCAACCCTACGACAACAATGCGCGCTCCAAGAATCTAATAATAGAGCTGTTTTGTTGTTTGTATTTGAAGAATAAACTTCTGTTAACCAGGTTTTAAAATTTTCTTTTGTAAGTTTTCCGGATGTCGATGCCATAACAAAAATATTCATCGCCTTGAACATGGTCTGCTGTAATCGAGGTTCAAATACTCCATGGTATAAAGCAGATACATATCGTCAAGACCTCATTTTCAAAATCCCGTATTTTGCTATGCATCACATAATGAACTACTATGCCATATACATATGCCGTGACGTACCAATTATTACATATACTTAATTACATTATTTTTATTACATTATTGCCACGATTATGTTCCCTAACTTATTCGAACTATTCGTTACCTATAAAATTGACATATACATAGAATACCTATGTACTTTAACAATAAATGTTTTGTAATACAAATTTAATAAAATTAACAGTTATGTATAACGCAAATATAATTGTTTTTTATTTATGCTTAAAAATGACGTTGACTGGTAGTGTAATATCGTCCAATATGATGCGGTTTAGTATCATGCGGGCGCGCGCGCGAACCTTTATGATAAAAATCTGAGAAATTGTAGAAGGCAATATCGTATATATATATATACCAATGGATTTGTAATAAAATTCTCTACACTTTTTGTCATTATACAAATTTGAATAAATTGTAAAATAAGGTTATGAACAATTTTTTTGTTATAAACAAATTGTATTTTGCAAAATTCATTAACATGCTGTTATTACACGCAAGAAACCATACAACTTTTCTATTAGAAGTTTTAATGTATCTCGTATGGTTTTCGAGATAGCCAAAAGGAGTCGAAACTTTAAGGGCTCGTTTCACCCCTTAAACCCGCGTCTCAACCGATAAAAAAAAATACGTGTCCCTTATTTTTGCCTGCTTAACAAACCTATGAAGTTTCATCAAAATCGGAGGGGGACACTTGCGTGCCTTTCCTTGTTAATTCATTTTGTGCAGCATTTTTGAACGCGGTGCAAAGATTAATGCTATTTAAATGTACGATGAAATCATAATGAACTCATGATTATTTGATTATAAGCTTATCATTTGCACACACAGCATTAGTATTACCTGCTAACGTTAAGTGTTAGCGAAACATTAATCAACTGTAGTTAAAGAAAAGGTAGAAGATCGAAGATAAAAGACTGTACAGTAACTGTACCTAATAGCAGTATTTCGCTACGTTTGACCTATTTTGTACTTTTTATAATAACTTCAGAATTTATTTAAACTTTATCACAGAATATCTATTGATATTTTAATGTTAATTTCGTTGAAACAAAAACGCACCTCCCACGTAGTCGACGCGACGTTAAACACTTCTGAAGAAGAAGAAGAAGAAAAACACATCTTTATATTTGACAAGTTTTTAAAATCAGATGCATATTTAAAGTACTTATCCTACATACTTCGTTAATTATTCACTGCATTCGCTTCTTCTTCAGTTGAAACGAAATACATCTTCACAGCTCTTATAAGTAACTGTGCATCCAAATATTTATTCTCACTTGAACGAAGTCGATCACCGTTATTGAAATTTTTGTAATTCTTGTCTTGTTAAATTGCGAAATAACACAATTTCTTTTGTTTAAAAATGTGTTCAGAAAACACTAAGTTACATTGAAAATTCGCAACTTTACGTATAATAGTATAAAATGAAAATTAAAATTTGCAACTACAAGAATTTCATGGAAAACACTGTGCAACGAAATATTAAAAATTATATTTAACAGTGAATATTCAGTAAAATGATACATAAATAAGTTTCATTATTTATAGCAGTGAGAAGTATATTTTTGTTCATTTTCGGAACAGAAATATATACAATTAAATAATAAAAGCACAGATACAAATTGCAAAAAAATATATTTCAACGTTAAAAAGGTTTGATATGAAAACATTTGTTTAACTTATTTAATGTTTCCGATGTTCAAATAAACTTTCGGCCTCTTCAAATTTTAATTTTCTGTTATAACCAATAAAATTTTATGGAATACCATAAACTTGCGCGGGCGCATAACCGGTGGTGTTATCGATTAATAGGAAACTATTACACAATACTGCAAAGCGAAAAGATTAACGATCTCATTAATTAGCAAGCTGAAGTTGAATCCGTAAATCTCACAATATTGCGGTAAAGCTATTACAACGAAAGGAAGATAAATGTACTTTCTTGACAAAATATTAACGACCAATATCAATTATGCTCCAAATGACCCGCGTAAGTACCGCAAAAAGTAATGAAGGGTCAATAAATGATTTTGTGAAATGTAGTGTGCGTTATCTGCATTAATCTAAACCTACTGCAATAACTCATTCTTCCCGAACCTGTAGTATTATATGTACAATAATATTATATATTATACACATAAATTTATATTTATAGATTTGTATTAAAATTTAAATTAAAATAATTTTTAATGCAGAAATTGAAGTTTAAATTTAAATAATTGTATTAACACTAAAACTACCAAACCGGTCAAATAACCTCTCCACAAGTTTCTTATTATAAGGTACACATACTGTTAAAATACATTCTTTGAAATCAGAATTGATTTTCATCAAGATAAAGAATAAATGTGTGAGCTAATTTATGTTTCGTCGTTTGTTTATTTATTTTTTAACTTTATTTTTAACTTCAAATTAAATACACATTATATGCCGGTTTAGTATTAAAATGATTTGTGCATGTATAAAATGATACAAGTTATATATAATTATACAGGATGTTTTCGAAATGGGGATGCAACCAAAAACATTGTGGGTGAATTTACATGAAGAAATCAGACAAAAGTATATAATACAATTTTCTTATGTTACTTTATTTTCGAAGAGCAAGTTCGAACGGTTTCGATTTATAAAACAAATTTGATCACAACACGTAAAGTAATAAGTGCAACGACTTTTTAATACTTTGAGAATAATGAATGATATAGAACAAATAAATCTAATCATTAATAATACTAAAATTCCTTATCAGCCATTTTTCATAACATTATTATTGATGTAGATACGAATGTTTGATATAATGAATTTAGTTGATGACCAGAACACACGTAAGTAACAAACCTAGAAAAGTAATATAAAGTAACAAACATATTTTAGCGATATTAATAATTATATATGTTGATGTATATGTACAATTATACGTATGTATTGATGTTTACTGTAGAATTAAGTAACAATTTGTTGATTTTCGTACACTGCGAACCAACTTTTGTACAAACAATAAAAAAATGTTGAAATTTAATTTTCTTGAAAATGGAGCGATAAACGAAAAAATTGTATTTCGTACATTTTACTTATTTTTTCATATCGATTCATCTATTTTTTGGTTATACCATCATTTGGAAAATATTCTGTATGTTATAGATAACATAGAAATATGACATAGGAAACGAAGGTTCTACAATTCGTTTCGATAATCAAAAATTGTTATTCATTACACGTGAGATTTATAGATTTATATAATTAAATGTAATTTCTATTATTTACATTTCTTTTTTGTATTTTGTAATTTTCTTAGTTTATAATATTTTTTAATTTGTATTATTTGTATTATTATAGAATTATATAGAATTTGTATTATTTAAGTCTTTAAATTATACATGTAACGAATAATAATTTTCGAATATCAAAATGATTCGTAAAACTTTCATTTTCTAGCCATTCTTTGTGACAAGCCATTTGTCACAAAGATTCTAGAAGTTTATTATTATACTATAGAGAGTATGATAGAGAATGATAGAATACAATATAACCGTGACAGCGTTACGCGTTACGTTACGATTTTATATTATAGAGTATGATGATAGAGTATGATATCACTTTAATTACCATAGCTCCCTTGATATCTTCCGGAATCATCGGTGCCAGATCTTTGACCATATTCTCCGTTATCGGGGTATTTGTTGTACCCATCGTCGTAATTTCGGTCGTATGATTCAAAATTCCGCCTGTCCGCTTCCTCTGAACCTAGAAATTAACAGAATATATATTGAAATTATGAAAATCACTCGCAACAGAAAATTATAACAGGGTTCTAATCATTTTCAGATATGAATTTCTAATAAAAGCAGATGGTCACGAAACACGGGCTTCAGATTGGAATATTGAAATTTTTAATTACCTCAATCAAATATAATTAATTGTAATTAATTAACAACCAAAACTAATTGTTAATAACTGATTGCACTATGACTGATAACTCAATGATTTTTATGTAAAGATTAAAATGAAAAAAGCTTGAAATAATAGTTTAATTAATTAATACTTAATCATTGACTGAAAAAGTAACATTTAATTTTTAATTCGACAAATTTAAATTACGAGTTACCCAATAATTTTCAATTAGAAGACCGTGCAATTAACAATTACAATTTAATTCTTAATCAAAGTAAGTTTAATTGCAAATCGAATTGTTAATTAGTAGCGAATTAAATTAAAAATTTGATGACACATTTAAATCGCTGTATCAAATTCATGTTCATTATATAAAAATGTACAAGCGAAAAAAATCTCTGTTAATTTGCTTTTTTCTTTATAATTATCTGTGTTATATTTCGGTTAACATTAACATTAGTAAAGTCGGAATGTGTTGGATATTGTCTTCGGTAATTATCCGAATTTAAAATGTAACGAAGTTAGAATTGCGTTATCACAATTTGTTTAACACGTTAGTTGCTACGCGCATTTATGAGAAAATCTCGGTCAGACCACGCAATAAAATAAAATGAATTAAAATCTTGTAAAAAGAAATATTTAAATACATTTTTTCTGCAATTCTATAATAAATAAAAATTATGTAACTTTTAAATAAATTGTAATAAATATTTTGTGTTTAATACAAATTTTTTAGTTTTACATATTTTACGCTATTAGTTACCGGTGACTGACACGATCTAAACGGCAAATTCAGTGTCAGTCGCCGATGACTGACGTGGCAATTAACGCGTTAATGGTCGAAATTGTAAATATATGATACATTGACAAAATCGTTAAGATACAATAGAACATTTCGCGGAAAAATTAAAAAGAGATGAAAATGATGGTTACCTTCGTTCGATAGGAATGTTCTCCATCTGGGTGAAAGATATTCCTCATCGGAGCTATTTGGTTTTCCTATATCACCTCGTCCCAGAGGAACAACCGGCGGAGGATTGCTCGACCATGAGGTGTGATTATATTGCTGAAATGGTAAAGACAAAATAAAAATCTCTGAGGTTGTATTTCAATCGAAAGTCAATGAGTAAAAGGAATCAGAACCATTGCAATATCGCTTGCTTAAGGGAGGGAGTCTTTTACTCATAGAAATAGCGACATTTCAATTTTTTTATTATACAGTTAGATTTCATTTGCGGGAAATTTATTATTATAATAATTTAAGATAATGTTGTTGTAATATTCTTATATTATTATTATATAATATTATTATATTATTATTACTACTATTGTTATTATATACTAGTTTATTGATTTGTTAAGACATTTTTTATCTCTGTTTGGAATATTGTGTCATTGCACAAGTAAAATTACTAATATAACAATGATATATATAATTTAGTTACATTATATAATGTACTATGATTATATTTATGTTTATTATTTATCTCTCTACATTATTTTTAACTTACAGTTATGTGTGCGTTATGCGCTGGTACGATTTGTGTTAAAAACAACATACTTAAAAACACTTAAAAAAAAATTTTAAATAGTAAGAATGTTGTTTGAAAATTGCTAATGGTTTTGTCAAATATTTCCTAAGTAAATAACTACTTGATCGATAATCGATAAGTACGGAATTTATCGATCGAAATGTAGATTTCTCTCAAAAGGGATCTATAAACTACTTTATCGACTCGACATATCGATGACCAAGTAAAATTTCAATATTAAAATTCTTACAGCAGAATTACGAATAGAATTTAATATCTGGTCAAAATAAACAATACCGTGTACAATAATAAAATTCTCATACTTTTTACAACGATAAAGTAATTTATAATAAATCGAAATACATGTGTGATTATCAATAACTTTTTTCTATAATAACAATTCAAGAATACAGGAAATTTAGGTTGTCATTAATACTTCCCTTTTTAATTTAAACGTGATTGATTATAACATAAGTCATGTTTTTTTTATAATCATTAACATTTTTTTACAATCAAAAGGTACCGTTTTTCACAGTGCGATGATTCGATTACTATTTCGATCATTTAGCATTATAATTTAGATTACTTAGCATTTGATTTTCAAACACTTACAATTTACACAAAATATTTTTTTAACGAACTCGAAAAGTAATAAAAATTTATTGTCTGAGAAAAGGACATGTGTTTTAGTTTTATCAAATAATCATTATCGCTGCTACAAAAAAGAGTACATAATTTACAATCGTAATAAACAAATAGAGTGCTCTTTGAACTGGCCTTCAGATTCACAAACTCAGAAAACTAAACAATGGAAATTAGAAAATATAAATATATTGAATTAAAACGTTTACAAACTTGAATGTTAAACATTTCGGATTGTAAAAAAATTCAGTACCTTCAAAGTTTCGTATTTGAAAATTTTTTAATTGAGAAACTGAGCAGCTATTGATGCCCACGAGAGTACGCCACTTGCACACGTCACTCATTTCACATGGTAGATTGGTTCCAAAAAAAGCTGTATAAACGAAAACAGTATAGAAAAACACGGTATACATGACAAAACAGAAAAATGGTGATGTGAAAATTCAAAACTAACAAATCACTTCCAAATTGAACATAAAACCATTGAATAAAATTGTATTTAAATCTAATGAAATATATTTTATACTGTGTCATTAATAGAACAGAAATTCTAAGTGGCTTAAATGTATCCGTATATTCCATTAATAGTTAAATTTTTTATTTTGTTTTCTGACAGTATTTTGTGACAATAGAAGATACAATAACAGTACTGTTTTGTATGTGACTCGATTTAAATCGCTTTACATTACTTGTAACACTTGCAATGACTTTTTCTTTAGTAAAAGAGGATAAAGCAATAATTTCCAGTATTCGAGCAAATATCCTAAAATTCAAATTTATGCATATATGTTTTGTTCTAGCAAACGGTAATTATATTAGTAGTAATCACTTTTACAGCCTTTAATTTGGACAGTTTTTAAAATAAGCATCTTTTAACCCCTTCCTGTGCCATTTATTTAACAGATGCGTTAGTCTAATCTAACTATTCAGGGCTATGACATCAAAACGAACAAAGAAAATTAAAGTGTTGTAACTATTTTATATTCAAGGATCCTTGATAATATAACTTATAGCTGGACGTAAATTTCAAGTTGAGGAGTACTCAAAATTTGAGTAAGGTTTGTCACATTTGAGCTGTAAATGCGTCACGAGTGAGATTCGTCAAAGTACGAGAATGGGTTAAACCACGTAAAATCGAAATATTCTTCTTACGATAAAATAAGCGTGCATAACATATCACGTTTTCAAATTCGCCACTCACGAAAAATGTATAAATTAAGGATTAGAATCACTAAATAGCATTTGTGTAAAGTCCATGAAAAAAGGAACTTCGATTTATAGCATGTTATACTAAAATTGGAATGTGTTAGTAATAAACAATTTTGTTGCGGATAATATGGCCAAGAGTGATTGATCTCTGTTGTCACTCGGTGAATACGTGCTGCAATTTGTGAAGTAGTTACTTCAATGTAAACGTTAATATATAAACATCGCATCCTTTTGTTTACATATAACCGTATTTGATTATCCCTGTAATTGTCTACATAATTACTAAATCGGAATACTGAAATTTCTTCTTCGTGTTTCAATTTTTTTAATAACCAATTTACCAATTTGTGTTTCATGTATACGTAGTAAATATTTATTGGTCCATTACATAATTAAGCAAATATTTTTCAGCATTTTGTCTAAAAGAGAACTTAGATTTCAATATAATATATTGCAAACAATAACTTGGTAACAAAATGTTTTGTGGTAACATTTTATTTTTGATTTAGAGTAATAAGTAATCACTTTTGAAAGAAGCAATTTATTTTGTGCATTAGATAAATGTTCAAATTATATTATTTGAAACTATAAGCTAATAAGTTGCAAACAAAATATTCAACTATTTGAACATGATAAAGTTACCCCTATCTTATTTTATATAATATTTTTACGACTGTTCCTATTTTTCTTAAATTATTTCTTATGTTTACATAAGTTCATATCTATATAATAAATAAAGTAAAATAGAATATACTAAGTATAATGAGCTGTTTATTTCGAAAATGGTCTAAGTTCATTCTTGGTAAGAAACACATATTATTCAGTTAATAATTGTCTTTATTTTAATAAGAATTGTAAATTTAATTCTGTTACATACACTACAAGAGTGTTATACGTTGATATCTTGGTCGTATATTTTTAATTCTATTGAAACACAAACTCTTAAACGTCTCTATTTAAATGGACTTAGGCCACTTTCAAAATAAACTGTTCAAATATATAATACATAAAAGTAGAATCGCACTTGTTTACTTCAATCGAAAGTAATTAAATAGGAGTATTGAGCAAGAAGAAATATTGTAGTTATAACTTAAACTGTTTAATTATATAATAAATTGGAAATATTACAAATTCTTGATATTCATAATTTATGAAATAATAACGAAAATTATTATCAAGCACACACTGTTTGAAGCCAAAGCTGAGCCAAGAGTTTATCTTGAAACTGAAAAGCCATACCTAAGCGCATGTATCAAATGCTTATGGTAGGTACAGAGATTAAAGGTGTTTTCAAGAGGATCTTCTTACTCCTTAATATTTCTGTGGTCGCATCAACTGTCGATAAGTTATCAGGCACACTTCTTGTATGTCAGGAAACGTCTCATGTTTAACCGCGAAATTTATACAATGTGTCCCCCTCTAAACACATGCTATAATGTTAATACATGTAATATAAAAAAGGTATGTAAAGAATTAATTAAGCTCAGCTTAATTAATTAAGGCTTAATTAAGTCGTATTAAAAATTTCTTAAAAATGATTAATGTCATTTGAACATAACATATTAAAAATATTAAAAAAATCAATTTTATTACAAATTCGATAGTATTATTATATGCAATTCGATTAAATTGTTAATTCAATTAAGAGTTAAATATAATACAGTTGTGAATTTTGTAGTCGTTATGTTAATTTCGATATTACCGTATTTTAATTAAATCATATGTACCTTTAATAAATACCTGATTTCTATCCAATATTTTCTGAATTATAAACTAGTTAACGATACGAAAACCGTTCAGAAAGTTACTGTATAACAATTACTATTTTCAAATAGCATTTATAATTATAATTTGAAAAGCAACGCAGCACCTAAAATGTATTCCACATATTTATTCAGTGCGGCACCTACTTCAAATTTCACGATGTCATCAAATACTGTTTCAGGTCTAAGAATTGTACGTTTAACTGCTTCTCTGATTCTTTAACGTAAACTTTAGATTTATACCGTTTTAAATGTATGTTATATAATTTTTTAAAATTGTATTTGAGTTTATAACGCGTTGAGGTTCTTCAATATTTCTTGGTACTAGAATGAATTAACGAGCTAAACAATGAAATATAGAGGCACATTTTAACAGAACCACGTTAACAATTTCTACCTTTCCATTCTATGACAAAATTAATTATCAAAAAGTTGTAATTTTGTAATGATAAGAGTCAACTATTTGAATATTAGTTAAACAACTAGAATTACAGTGTAGATTCAAATTTTCTAAATTACATTTCAATTTATCCTACATGTTCTTATGGAGATTTCAGAGATTACTCTTATTATTTTGTGTAAGCATCAATATTATAGGATTATCACTGTACATGTATAAAATTTTTAAACTTTCGAGTACTCAAAATATCAAATCTACAAATTCTAAAATTTTCAAAACCCTGAATTTTTATTAAATATCACAGTTTTTTTAAATTACAAGATATAAAATCTACAGAGTGCTGAATCCTTTCCAAAGAATCAGTGCACTTAATTGTTAAATTTCCAAATTTGCAGATCTTAATTTCGAAACACCTTAATTCCTGAATTTTCAAATCTCTCAGCTTCTAAATTGTAAAATATCAAATATCCACATGTCCAAATTGTTAAATTCGACTGTAGAAATTTCTTCATCTTTTACG